AAACGTTTTATATTAATAATCTAATGTACACAAAAAACTGAGAGACTTGACTTATAATTTAGTGAACCACTGAAACTCAATGGAAGCATTGACTTCAAAAATAAGATTTTTCAACCTAGTCATCATGTTTATTCACACTGCTTCGCTTCATATTAACTATTTAGTTGTAAAATCTTGATTAGAATCAAATGAGTCTGCATAAGAAAATCAATGGTAACATATAACACTTTCTTGCTCTAAAACGAAAAGTCCTTCAACTTCAGTTTGCTACAACATCATTCACCATCATACATAACAGATAGTGGATCCTGATTGAGGAAACTGGATAAAAATGAATAAAGTTTTTCTAGTATCACCTAGAACTATTATCTAATCATCCATAAAAAATTTCACATAAACTATCGACTCTTCTTCGTGGTTGAATTAATTACACGTTTATATTTTGAGATAAGGAATGGAGCAAAGCTTTCTCTTTTTTGTGTACGTATAAAATGTTCTGCTAATAAAATTTCAGCCATTATTTTATATACAATACCACAAGAAGCGCTTATACAAAGAACATTTATCTATTTAAGTGATATAATTGAAAACCTATTTTATACAAGTGATTTTTTTCATTATGTTGCCACCATGGCCAGATTATGGAATAAAGGTACGCAGCCACGATAGTCACTCCTACGGGAATCACGATATCACAGAATGTTGCTCTAAATGTGTTGCTTATGATTCATCAAAATGGTTTTATGGGTCAGAAATTGTATTAAAATATTGGTCTGTCTTAGTCGGTTTTATGTGCGCACTTTTACTAATACTCATCATTATTGAATGCTTGCCATTGCGATGTCATTCATCAAATAAGCAGAAGAAATGTTTATCCTGTGACCATTTCATTCAAGATCCAAATTTCAAGGTTGAAGATGGAGATTCAGAATCAACAAAAAATCTAACATTATCGTCAATCGTCACCAAATATTGAAAAATACACGATGGCTCAATCATTTTATTGATGGTGATTTAGTAACATTTTTAGCAAGCATGCATTGATTAGAATTTTTTTTGTTCATTATTAATCGATAATCTCGCTTATAGTTTTTTTTTTATAGTAATCATATAATTTCATCTTAGAATTCACATTATAATCTCGAAATATATGTAGTTTATTCAATCAAATGAATTTTTAAAAACGTCAGACATTTGAATACTCAACTGTACAACTTCAGTCTTGTTTACTCTGGCGCTTCTAGTTAAGAGCGAATCATAATAAGCAAAACTGATAAAAAACTTTATAACGCCAGCAATGAAGAAAAACTAGTTTTACAGACAGTTTGAATGGAGTTGACTAATGTTATTTTATTTCAAATGCTGTTGATTCAACTCATTGAATTTGTTCTCTGATTCAAATCTCGAATATAACTTTCAAGCTATCAATAAAACTTTGCTGTAATAAACGTTTTCTGACTAAGTTATGTGCTCAAATAGTATCGTGCTTCTGTTCTAAGACTTAGACAGAATTTAATTCTTGCTGAATTAATCCATTTAATTTCGAACATGAAGTCTAAATGTGTTATATTCGCAAAGATCTACAATTACATCACAAATATGACTCAATGAATTTATAATTCTAATAAAAAGTTTACGATATCGTGAGTCAGTGGAATTGTCCCTCTTTTTTTTATTGCTATACCTCGTTTATTTTTAAACATATCATGTAATGTAAGAAATAAGAAACGCGCTTCATGTTGTAGTATATTCCTGTTCAATACCAACTCATGCTTAGAAGAGGAAAAGTATCATTTTTTTTCTTCGACAGTGTATGATACGAGTCAGGTGAATTTGTTTGCTCATTGCATTGATGTCAATACACGCCGATTCAACTGATTACGATAATTTACAGTGTTTGAGTGAATGTGAGACTAAGTATAACAGTCTTATTTGATCATCAGCTACTCTGGCTCTGTAAATTATCATAATCAGTCAAATCGGTTTGTATTGACATCAATACAACGAGCAAACGAATTCATCTAACTCATATTATTCATTGTCCAGAAAAGAATGCTACTTTTTCTTCTAACTAACCTTTTCTCTTTTAAACATGACTTTTTGTTCAAAGTGAATATACCACAACATGAAGTGCATTTCATATTTTTTTACCATATATTTCTCATTTAAAAATAAGCATGGTATAGTAATAAAAACAAAATGAAAAATTCAACTTGTCTGCACTGTAACTTGATTCATGTTTATATCGAGTATGTCTGGTTGATATTCATGTGGAAATAAACACAATCAAAATAATACTTTTATTTAGAGACAGTTGTTCACTACAGTTGATATCTGCTAATTAAATTGATTTATCACTCTCTCAGAATGATTGTTTTTTTTGAAAACGCACCGATGCCATACGTAAAAGAAGTCAGCAATTTCCTTTCCTAAGCACTTAGATGCTCTTTGTAAAAGGTGTCCAACGTTTTTCTAGCTAAGAAAACCAAATTTAGTCATCTGTTAGTATAATTTACTTTCCTAGCTAAACCATTTCATGACACATTTTTTTCTAATGTTATTTAGCTATATGTTATATCTGAACATCTTACAATTTTGAAATCATTCACAGCATAATACTTGTTGTTAAATATATTCTATTTCGATCTAATATAAGCTACAATGTAAAATAAAATAACCACCTGGTTTATGTTCTGTACTTTTAAATGAATAGAAAACCGTTTAATCAACTATTTTCCATCTATGATAAAAAATATTCATCGTTAGAAATAAAAACTGGGTTCTTTATTACTTGAATTGTTCAAAAAATGGTAGCTTGAATGATTAGCTTTTTGGTTATGGACGATTTCTAGCAAATTCTCAGATTTTTATTATTCGTATAACTGTCCACTTGAAAGCATAGCGCAGCCAGAAAGAAAATCATAAGACCACAATTAACATATTGACTAACACGCAGAGGACGAATGTAGATAATAAGTCCAAGAATGGCAACCAATAGACAAGATCCTCAATTTCAATAAATGAGATATACAATTGTACCATAAACAAACGATAGAGAGAGTGATATTGTACAAGGATGGTTAGTAGTTTTGCTGATTCTCAATTGTTAAAAATTCTTTTATTAGATATAGAATATAGCTCAGCTAAAGGTTTTGTGATGTGACATCATCTGTATAGAATAAAAAATGACTATCATTTCAAAAACAATTCAAAAGATTCAAAACAATTGAAGAATCGTATATAAAACGAACGCGATTAAGCCATTCCAACCGAGTAAAGTTGCTTCTTTTTTTGCTATGTCACATCTAGAAAAATTCTTTTCCTCACACTTTTGTTTTCTCGCATGTATAAAGTTTTTCATTTTATAATCATTTCTAATGATTAAATGAACAGTATTTATAATCACACTTCAATAAAACTCTTCATCATTTTACGTAAAATTCGCTTCGCAAGATATTATTTGTCTTTATTCGTAAAATAACTCTTCTTATCTCACACTAGAACCAATCTGTCGGTTTATACTATAACGTCAATTAGAATACGTGCACTCAGCTAATTCATTGTGCCCTTGAGCAAACACGTAAAAGTCAGCTATCAGTCAACTACATGCAGACATTTTTATAACTAGAATGCTCGAACATATAACAACCTTGACTGTTGAGTTTTGTCATGTAGTTCCGATTCAATTTTAGATTAAACGATAGTTATTCTTTTTCAAATAAATCATCGTGTTTATTCAAAGTCAATCGTGAATTTATATTAAATCGGTGAGAATAAAACTACCGTTGTATTGATCACTGCTTGTCATTGTGATAGTTAAAAATTAAAAAAACAGTAAGAATCAAAAAGATACCAACACTTCGATAGCAAACAGAAGTCTTTGTTTCCGTAATGGTGCAAAATTAAATTTTTTTTTCTTGAAAATACTTTTAATCAGCATGTTTCTCCTTTAAATAGTCGATCAAATAATAGCCAGTCATACTTTAATCTTATGCTAAAATATATACAAGCTTATTTTGTTTTACTTAGTTTAGGAGTAATAGATTTCAAATTTGATCATTACTTGATAATGCCGACTTCTCTTACAACAAAACTACTATCAATCTCTAACCACGCCTCAGTACACTTCTGAAAGTCTATTAATTGTGTTTTATTTGCCTTAGTTTCCGATTTTCGTTTATCATGGGTTCGTTTTTCTCAAAATCTGTCACACATTCTGCTGATATATCAGGAAGTCATGTTAACCTCTGGATTATCAATGGTGTGACGTTTGACATGTCATCAATACTTAATCAGACATTGCAGAATGCAGTCGAAAAATTTGAAAATATCATCATTGCCAACAATGCAGCTATTATCATTAATATTATGTTGATCTTAACCATCATTATTTTGTCAATCATCTTTGTGTATTTACTTTGCCGCTGTCAACAGTTCCGACCTAAAATAAATTTCAACAGTGATGTACTTAGCAATTCAGTTGAATCTTCAACGTCTAATGACAAATCTTTGTCGAAGAGCGTATCTAGTTGTTTTGCAGGATATCTTGTTTAAAAATTGCGCACTTGTTCATTCATCAAATAATGCAAATATCTTTTCATGCATGTAAATAATAGAAAAAATATTCCTTTGATTATAAACGTACTTCAGTCCTTTTTTAAAAATAAAGTAGCATAATAATATTCTCTCATCATTAGTGAACTTGTCTATTTTTTTATTTGGCACGAAAATTCTGTGCATGTACAAAACGAACTGACCACATAATCATTAATTATTGGCAAGGCCATTTTTTTCAAACCTGATAAAAGAAAGATTTGTTCTCTTTCTCTCTCAGTTTCTCTTTTTTCGTGAACAGTTATAAAACGCAACGAAATATTAGCTTTTGTTTCATACGAATAAAAAACAAATCTATTATATTGAAATATTCACATTACTACTTTCTATCATTTTCATCGTGAAATATGGTTTTTGACTTTGGTAGTTCAAACTCAGTGTATAAAATGAATGTCCAAGGTGACGGTAAAAATGTTAAAATGCTTATTGGTGATAAGGCTATAGAAGCGTCGACTGATACTGCTGTTCAGACGGTAATAAAAGCTGCTGGTCAAACGGCTGGTAAAGTCATCGAAGGTGGTGGCACTATCATAACTGCACCAGCAATTTGGTTAAAAGATATCCAACAGAATTGGCTTACCTACATGATTGTTGCTGCAATAATTCTGTTATGCATTTCATTTCTCTATTGTTCGGTTTGTTCATACTTGAATCAGAAGAAAGACAATGGGTCTAATAATAATCTTCTCGAACTTGCTAAAGTTTTTTCAAACAAAAATGGCATCTTACAACAACCACTGGCATTGTCAGCAACCAATTTGCCATCCATTCCACCAAACTTAGTTGTATAATTAACGTTTGAAATGCAAGTCAACATTTTTATAAACATGCCTCTTCGCTTTTGTAAAATAGTAGTTTTAGTATTTCAATCTATATCTCGAGATATTTTTTGTGCATTTCACTATTTTAATCATCATATAATCTCGCTTTTATTTTTGTTAATATCATCATTGAATATTGTATTTTAATATCAATTATCTTAATAAATGCATGTCAATTAGGAAATCCTACTGTTACATAGATGTTGGAAATGTTGTGATTATCGTAAACGTACCATTGACTATTCCTATTGTTCTTGATTTATTGGCTTCTTATTATTTTGCTTACTAAATGTGTCATCATCAAACTTTGTATATACGAAAAAATATACTTATGATATTTATAGGATATGAATAAGTAAACAAAAAGAAAGAAATGATCAACAAACTGCAATTTTGACGTATACTTCATAAGCTTGAACATGACTGAAATGACATGGGAAGCACATTTCTCTTTCTGTTCAACCAAAAACGGTATTGAAACGACATTTTATTATTGCTAATTAATGGTCATTATGATTGTAATACTATTCTCATTATTCTGAACTCGATTTCTGTTGTAAATAGCGTTTGATTTTCGAATTTTGTTTGAAAAATCAACGATTATAAATGAAGCAACTCATGATTGCATTATAAGGTACCGGAGCAGTCATTTTCATTATTTGATACATTAGATTTGTAAAATTCGAAACCTTTTCTCGCCACAGAATTAACCCTATCTTCTAGTTATAGTCTATTGCAATGATATCAATAAGAATAAAAACATTTTTATTAAAAGTTTCTCGTATAGTTATGCTCTCTTCCACAAAAGCAACATATATTTGATTGTCATAAAGCAATTTATGCATTAGGATCGAACTTATCTTGAATCTTGCAACGGAAACTGGAAAATATATAGAAAATGCAAATTTCAAATATCTTTATCAAGAAGCATTAGACTACAGTGCAGACCAAAAATATAAGAACAGGGTATTTTTGATTTTTTTTCTTCCATACCATACATTTATCTTAAAGTCAAATACTGATTTGAATGGATAATGAGATGCCCTATCAGAGGCACTAGAAATGATATTTTCGTAGATACTTTTAGGCAGTGAAAGTCCTAAAACACAAAAATCTGGATTTTTCAGGTCAAAGAAACATTTGACTTTGACATAAATGGATGGTATGGAAGAAAAAAAAATCAAAAATACCCTGTTCTTATATGTTTAGCCAGCACTGTATATACAAATCGATATTTAAAAAAACTTTTTTTAGTATATGGCAAACATCAAAACAATCTTAGTTCCTTTTTTTATAGAGATAGATTACTTTCATTAAATTTTTGTATATATCTGAATGTAACAGCAAAGCACTTTTTTGTTTTATTTTCATGAAAACAGTATCAAAGTACCTATTTTATGAAATAAAAGAATTTTATAGATTTATTCAATATTGTTGTTTCATACTAGTACGTGTTCTTTTAACAGTTTTCTTCGGCAATTTCTTTTTCTTTGGCTGGTCACACTCTCATAACAAGCCGAACTATTTCTGTGCGTATTGTTTCTCTCAGTAATAGATTCGAAAAATATAAAATTGACTTAATTTTGTCTTCTTCGTAATATCTTAAAATGCTTTTGCCAACGCTCTCTAATATATTTTCTCTTTGAAGGCCATCCACAAATATCTTATTATTTAACCTTCAACTTCTGATAAAAAGATTTTATTAAAAAAGACTATTTAGGTGAATCACTGCACAAAAGCCTTTCCCTTTTAATAAACCAATTACGGTCACTAATTTTCGTGCTTCTCACTCTGAACTAGAATCAGCTTTCAATATTCATGAGGATTTGTCACAAAAGTTCTTGCTGTGTTATTAGGAAATGCCAATTTTTTAAAATTTATATTGAATAAATATATTTCATCTTCGTGTTCATCATTAATCGGAATGTTTCGACCTGTGATAACAGCTTCAGTATAATTACCTTTTTTTTCTCAAAGTATCAGCTAATATAATAAATATTCTTTATGCCCATACTTTCCTTTGATTATTTTCTTTTTCTTAAAAACAACAACTCTTTATTCATCTTTTCAACTTATGTTGTCAGACATTATTTTACTTTTTCTTTTTATGAATCTTTCTTACAAACAAAAACGATACTATTTTTATATTTATCTGCTCGATAGGGCTAAAATACCAATCTTTTTTTTGCTCCACGAAAATAATTGCTTATTTTGTATAGACAGTCACATCTCTGTGTGTTTGTTGTTTTTAACTTTAACAGGCCAATCTCTTGTTTAACCGAAAGATTGCGCGTTTACACTTTTATTTTTTGTAACTGTAAATTAAAACTTTGCAGCTTCATTACTATGTACTTCACTTTTGTTTAATGACACGATATTTCCTAATGTTAGTAAGATCCGTTTAGATGTACATACTGAGTCACTGATATCCTAATGCAAATGGGCACAGAGAAAATAAAATTTGAATGTAACTCTCGATTTTATTTTCGAACATGTGCAACATTTCTACTGTATACTTCTCATCCTATAAACGTTTGTCTGTTATAAACATTGATTTATATTTCATCAATGAGTTAAAGAAAAAATTATAACAACTCTGACTAGAAATTAGAAATCATCATTACAACGCAAGAACTGTAAAGAGCAATTTTAAAATCAACCGAGAATATATATCAAATAACAATATTCTCTGCTAAGAAATCTTGAAAATTTGGCATAGCACCAGTAAATCAAGTATTCTTGCAGCAAAAACAGCTCTTGCTACACATCAATCACAGGTAAAAATAGTAGTAAGAATAAAAAGATCTATACTTGCTCGATCACCATCTACATATAAATATATTATGGCACAGACAAAATTCGTTTTGAATGAGGCGCTAAATTATGGAAACAGGTTTTTTTTAATCTAGAAATCATTTTTAATTATCACTTGCATTCAGAATACTCGGCAAAACATCTATAGTCACTTAATCGCTTCAATAATTGAACATATCGATAACTTCTGCGTCAACTTCGCTAAATGTGATACATGTACCACCTTAAATTAAAACACAAACAAACTTTAACGAAAGAAAAAATTATTCCAAAGCCGTAAATCATATTCTTTTTTTCTTTTTCTCCTCGTCATTTCTTTTGGTTGGATAGAAGCTGAAAATTTTTTTTCATATTAAAAGAATCATTCTCGATCTCAATATTTTATATAGAGTGTGTCCTAGTTGACACAATATATCATAGATGTTTTATTGATTATCTCGTTTTGCTTTCCACTAGGCATAACATGTAAGTCATCGTTTTAGAAATTTTTCATAAGATAGTCTACTAAATTGATTCTTATGTAGCAATTAAAGTCTCTCCAATGAGTTCTTTATCTTCATCAGACGATATATCTCTAGAACTAATTTATAGGTTAATTATCACTTAATCGTTTCATAAATTGAACATATCAATAAATTCTACATCGATTTTGCAAATAGGATACATGCTCCATGCTAATTTAAAACACAAAAAAGCTTTAATGTAAGAAAAAAATGATTCTCCTATCATATATTATTTTTCCATTCCTCATTTTTTTCGCCGGACACAAGCTGAAAAATGTTCGCTTTTTATAAAATATTCCTGAAGTCAATATTTCATATAGCGTTTGTCCTAGTTGAGATCATATGTCGAAATTGTTTTATTGATTATCTCTCTTTGCTTCTATATTAACAATAAGATGTAACTCATCGTTTGAAAACAATTTTTTTATAAGAAAGTATACTACAATAATTCGTATATAGCTAGTGAAGCTATCGAACCGAATTCTTTCTCAACATTAGACGATATATCTCATGAACTATTCCATATAGATAACATAAATGTTGTCCAATACTACTACTCAAGCCATAAATTTATATCGCTTATAGATTTTTTAAGTCTGGTGATTTATATAGAGAAAGCTAGCAAACTCTACATCACCCTAAATGTCTTGCTCATTTATATTGAAAAATCTAGCGAACATTGTGTCTGAAATGTAATATTTACTTTTTAAATAAAGTTTTAAACCGTACAACACAGCTACAATAGAAAGTTGACTGGTCTATTGTTTTGTTAGCTATCTAAAATTTAAGCTTTAATTTTTCTAAGTCTCAATTTTCCGCGAATCATATATATATATGTCAGGCAAATTTGCGATTTAGGCAAAATTAAACAGAATCTTTAGAGATTTTAAAATAAAACAATTGTTATAACGAAATAATTTTATAAGCTTATATAAATTAAAGTGCAAGTTGATTTTAAATTTAACCAAATCTTGGAAAATATTGAATGCGCTATCATTTTCAATACAAATATGAATCAATTTTTGGAGGATGTATAATTTCTCAGTACAATGGATTTAAAGCTAATTGAATTTTGAACGTTTAGCAAAGGCAAATGATGCGCTATGTTTTTGTTCCAAGAGATACGAATTTCAATATTATAATAAGACTGGTAAGGTTTTGGCTATCTATCAGATTAGTTATTGTGATCCATCATGTTATCTGAAAGGCTTGTTTCTCTTCAGAGTTCTATGAAGGAAAAAAAGAGAATGTTCGATCAATAAAAAAAAGAAGTATTTCGTTCGATTAAAATGTTCGTTGTTTAATAATATTCGATGATTGCTTTTTCAGATATATTAGTAGATACGTAATCTGATCAAGAAGAAAATTGGTGTTTTTTTTCTCAAGATGCAATCTTTTATCATTGTAACGATTTGTCTTGCCGTTACGGATTCGAATCTTTCTATTGATGATTTGTTGTGGGATTTGATGAATCTATATGTTAGAAGAGTTTTAAAAAAACTATCAGTAGCATATTCATTTTGTTATTAATAATATCGTTCTTTAAAACCAATAGGAGTCGGCATACACCACAACCAAGCAGAAGCAATGATTTGCGACGAAGATTTGCCGACTTTCTCACTCCAGGAGCATCGAATCGAGCTCGAAGGGAGTCCATTCGATAGAGCTCCTCGAGATCTACTTGGAACCAGCAATAGTTTTGTTGGAGGCAGTCGTTGAGCAAACCGCGACAGGTTTTACTGTTGATTTCTTACTTTTTAGGCGTTTTTTAGCAGTCAAATGGGGTTTTCGTTGGGATGGATTGTTTCTTTTTGGAAAAAAGTAGTGCAATAGATAGAGCGCGTGGAGATTTATTGGAAACCAACGCTTGTGGAGTTGGAGCCAGCTCGAGTGCGAATCCTTTCGCGAAATACTCGATTTCTGACCCAAGAGATCCTACGTTATATAATCAGATAATTGAATGTTATGCATGAGAAGTTTATTACAAATGGTATCACGATCAGCTTGATTTGCTGGTAATACTTTTGCAGAGCATTCAATCGATCGACGAGTACTTGCTAAAATTAAAAAATCTTTAATCCATAAATCTTCTGTAACAAGCGTTTCAAAAGTTTGTGTACCAATATTTCTATCGATCATTTTGTTTTCTAAAAGAACATTAGCGATATACTTTACAATGATTTTATAAGTTAGATTGTGATATTTTTTAATTTTCTTAATTTCTCCTTCATAGATTAAGTAATAAAATATAGAAATGAATTATTTTGAAAGAAAATGACGATATGGAAAATATACTATTAACAATGAATGTGAAAAAAAGTTACACATATAGAAGATATAAGCATAGAATATTTCTTTTGCAATTTTTCTAATTTTTCTATAACATACTATTCCTTTTTAGATAATAAAAAATAGTGGTTTCTTTACCATTTAATCAATACAAGTTTTCTTTAGTAACTATGAACATCGATAACATAAGAATTTGATGTGACAATATTGCTTGAGTTTCTTCCCTATAGTTCGATTCGCATTTGATGCAACTATTTCCAATGGACTAATGTCAAAAACTTTAAGCGTGTGCTCTAATAGGTATACATGAAAATATATACTACGAGAAATAGATGATTTTGTTATTATTATTTGAGATTCAAACAGTCTTTTGATAACAAGATGAACCTCATTGAATAAGCGAATATTCAATCCAATCATCTCATCAGGTCGACGTGTTCTCTTAGGTACATAATAGTAAGAACAAACTACACAAAAGGGTTTACATATTAACGTGTTCAATGATTGAAGACAACAAATCAAAGATCTGTGTGAGTGCGCTTATTCGAGTTATTTGAGTGGCTTCTTTTCAAAGAAAAGATGTAACCCGAGATGAGTTAGCTTCAGATTCCTGTTTACTTAATTCTTCGATGTAATTATCAAGTAACTCCTTTGCCACATCCAAATATACATACGTATTGGCGACGTCCAAGTATCAGCGTAATCATTAATATCTGAGCACTGGTCAGTATATTTGGTTGTATATCAACATACTGTTGTCTTAAATACTGTTGGTAACCAAGAAGAAGAAACAAACAACGAACGACGACAATTTCAGTCATAGCATGCTTTAGAAAATCTTGTCAAATAGGAGGAACTGAAACACCTCTACTTGTTCTACATATTGTCATACGAGCATTTCTTATTGGTTGTGTATGTCCGTTGGTTTTTTCCTCATGCTAAGTCCATCAAAGAATTGGCAAAACATTTGCCTGCTTGAATCAGCTGTACTGTTTGAAAACAAACTCATTTACTTTAATGCTGCATCAATCTCTTCTTGCATAATAATGACATTCGTCGATTCTTTTAGCTTCAATATAAAGAAAAAAACCCACTAAGCCATAGTATTTCGAATTTTCATTAGAAAAAAAAATTAGTTATTTGTTTTTAGAATGTCAAGGATAAACTAGGATTCATGTATAAGAAAAGTAGAATCTAGTGATTATAATAAATTCAGTGAAGAAAGCCTCAAAATGTTTGTTAAGGTTTTCTCATAATTTTAAATTATAATATTGCCAATTGTTAATAGAATTCTTTTAGAAAATGAAATTTCAATAGCTCAGAAAACAAATATGAGACTTCGTTGGCAGATAGAATTATTTAACAAAAGACAAAAGTAAGAAAACTTATATTATATTCGATTCTTCTTTTAATTCCATCGGCTCTACAAAACCAGCTTCCGTAAGCTTACCAAGAATAGAATGAATAATATTTGGATTTCCAATACTATGTGTAAGATGAAATGCGTAGAACTCTTTTAAAGCTTTTTGACATTCTCATACTGAACCACTTTTTGCTATTCTTATTGGATATAAATGTATTATTTCCATTGACAGCGTGTAGAAGAACATAGTTTGATATTCGTACCATTTTAGTTTTTTTTTATTTATTGTAGTGCAAAAGAACAAAATTTAAGATATAGGATGACCCAAAAGCCACTCGACAGTTTTTGTTTGCAAATAGTTTTTTATAGGAATAACATAATAAACTGCGATTTTGATCTTTCAAAAGAGACTATGTCATTGTATGGTTTCGTGTATGAGTCAACAATACCGGTTGATGATCGGATCGTTAGTGAGTGCGCTTCTGAAAAATACAGATCATTTTTATGAATATGATGTACAAGTTGAATTCTAAGAAATGCATTATGTATGCATGCTTACGATCCACATAGGGTCGAGCGTTGCATCTATAGCTCATAAATCCATCACAATAAAAATTTCGCCATTGGATGTAGATCGGATCCACGAATTCAGCGCATGTGTGAGAATCAAACTTCCATGTTATTTTCATAGAACTATCAGTATGTTTCTGAAGCCCACAAACTGACAATTACGTCATGAACTAGTATTTTCGAATCATACATGGAATCATGCAATGACAGGCTCTTTTAAAAGATTAAAAGAGCAACACATTATCTCAGCCTTATCAAAATTTAATCACAAAACAAAGACCGTCGACTCACTTTCGGGCCATACTATTTTTTAGCATATATTTTTTCAATTCAACTCAGTCGAATCATTAAAGTAAAAACTGATATTGCATTGTTGGAGTTAAAACTATTTCTCAAAAAGTTGATAGTTGAGAAAATCGAGAAAAGGTTGAAATGATTTTAACTGTAGTTATAATATAGAGCGGTGTATCGGTGCCACCAGCTCACCGTACCACCGATTCACCGTTCGCCGGTGTCATTGGTCCACCGGTGTCAGCGTTGCACCTTTAATCGATACAATAGATGTAATAAAGAACTACCAAATTCATGTATTGGTCAACAACGATTGCCACATGAAATCCCGTGACGAATCAGCATTGGGGGATGGAAACCATTCTTTTGGTAAAACGGCAAGCAGAGAACCCAAAACACCAATCGTTAGAGAATTGAATCCTGCACCTAACAATAGCAAAGAGAGAACCAACATAGGTGTTCAGCGGGATGTTCGGTCCCAGTGTAAAAACTTAAAAAAACAGGACACTGAGTCCATTGAAATCGAAGTCCTGCGCACTGACTGCACTGCAGTGATTTCACTGTCACTGGTACTAAACCGACATCGAGATCACTGACACACTGTCGTTCACTGTAGCGCCGGCATTCACTGGCACTGATTACACTGAAATCAGTACTCAGTGGAGCATTGGCACACCGATGTTCTTCTTCATTAACTTTTACGTTTGCGTTTTATCTTATGACACCTTCCGTTATTAAGACATGAACTCTCAATCATTTTGGATTGGACAACAACTGATTCGTTTAATATTCTCTCTTTTTCTTTCGTACAAATGTGATTTTATGGGTGGTATCACATATCCGGGAAATTGGGGATGCTGGACAAGCAGCGAGAGATGCGGGAGATGCCAAAACCATATACCTTATCGAGTACCTCTGCGAGTCATATATACATCCTGATGAGTGAACCTACCATGTCTGGATGGAACTCCCTTGGAGATGCCGCATCCTTCGTTGTGGCATATCTTGATGAAAACTTTTTTCACTTTTCCTTTGGAGGATATCGTGATATACGTATGCCTAGAGAGATGGCGCTTCTCTGCTGGCGTGTTCTCTGGCGATACAGGACCTTTCCCTCAGCAGCAATATCCTGCCAGATCTGTCACTTATCCTGGAAATCGTGGATGCTGAAAGACTGCAGAAAGATCCGGGAGACGGCGAAGTTACTTTTGAATGTGACCTACACACGCACACGCAAAGGGACATCCAGACTCGCAACTATACGCTCCCCCACACTAAAACCAACATACACACAGAGTCACAACTACACTCACACGCACACCCAAGAACACAAATGGATAAAGCATAATATAAAATTTTGATTTCAAATGAGTCGATGTAATCAATACAAGTCAACATGACAACAGTGATGTTGATTACTTTCCTACACAACTCAATGAAACATGATAAATGTCCAACAACGCAAATCTCAACCTTTCTTTCCAATAAATTGCATGGAAGGTTATTAACATAAGAATTTTCGAACTTCCGGTGCACGTATTTTAATTGGCAGTGTTACTGCCACACTTGGTATCTATAATTATAGTACTTTCGAACTCAAATCTCCAACTTCATTCATCATTCTCTGCAAAGTTTTATTGGATAACTCTGCAAATATAGTCCTTTCTAAGGATACAACCTATATTGAAACCAACAGTGGACAAATGAGTGATTGCCGAAAGATTCTTTTGAAGAAAGCAACAAGTGTCCGCCACTGAAAATAGTTTCATTAGATAGCTTCTTACTGTTCGAAATTCTCTGTCTATGTCACTTCGAACAAATCCATCCTGAAACATACCTACAGTAAACATCTCGGAGCACTGACTAACCACGAGTGCTTCCCAGAAGGGCACCGACGAATGGCTAGCTGCTATGTATAAAAGTTCAATTTCACAGAAGATCATATGCTTTTATTGACAATGTATCTGACTCAAGTTCAACTCTTTTCTTAAAACTACGTATAGAAAGTGAAATAATTCACCACGAAAAGCTACAGACCAAAGATCATTTTATGAAGAATTTCTTATGCCTTGAATTTCAAGGTATTTCTAGAGAGTTTCGTGTTATATTACAACCAGATAAAACAATACAACCAGAAGAATCGCTGGTCTGCATTACATTGAATTTTGCCGAAATCCGCCGAAAACCAATAGAATGTCATCAAAATATCTTGGGTATCCAGTAGAAGTCCACGTTGAACTTCTGTTCATTCGTTTCATGCCTGCTGCCGACAGAATTCTGCCGATGCGAAGACCATCAGACACGATCCGACCTACTAGGTTGGTCCTAGGAGTTCTCCATTAGCACTCTCTTAGTAAGATATCACAAATACAATGTAAGATCATATACGAATCTTCACTAAAAAAATATTGCACTCAATCTTTTAGATGCCGAGCTAGTAGTTCGTTGGCGCTTCTTCGGGACGCCACTGATGGCAAGCTGCTACTGCCTACATCCTCAAAAATCTTTGTGCTCTATTTACAAGCCACCCACGACAGATTCGCCTCTCGCATGGAATTATTGAATTTTCAATGAAATACTCCTCAATTGGGAGTAGACAATAGCAGAACTATTTTTATACTATGCG